CCTCTGACCCTCCCCCCTCTCATGTGCTCTCTCTTTCTCTCTCTCTCTCTCATTCTCTCTTTCAAATAAATAAATAAAAATCTTAAAAAAAAAAAAAACTCAGGGTTACGGTCCTCCTTAAATATTTTATCAAGCTCTAAAAATTGATTTGCAGTCCCCATTAATTTTTAAACGCATGTCAGAAAATATTTTCTTAGGTTTGGTCATGGCCAAAGATTTTGCCTGTTAATTAAGGCTGGCAGCGGCTTCTTCTTCTTCTGTCTTCCCTTTGCCCTCTCCTCCCTCCCCAGCCACCATCCCTGTTAAGTTTTATGGTAGAGCCAGTTTTGAAAATAGCAGCAAGACACACACACATTCCCACTTGGGAGGAAGCCTGGCCACCTCGGGAAGTGTGCGTTGGCTAACGTGGAGTCCATAGGACATTCGGGCTCGTGTCTCCTAGAAACTGTGAAGCCTACCAGGTGATAACCCAAATTAATTTTTTAATCACTTATAATTCTTCATATTATTTTTATTTAATACCATTGAGTGACCCACGTATTCCTCACAGGCAGTCTCTTGCACATACCCTCTGTAAGTTTGCGCTCTGCCGTGGCTAGGCATGGCCCGATGCTGACCAGCGTGGAGACTTAATAAGGCAGACAGTTTGCCAGCAGTGGGGGAGTTGTAAGGGACATGCCCACAGGCCGGCCAGCTAGATTTCGAAAGTGAAGAGGGCGGGTTGAGGCAGTGGAACCCATGGTGACTGACCCATGGCAAGTGCACCACCCATCTTGCCCATCCTGTGGTGAAGACAACATGGGATTTCAGCATAACCCCACCCACCACAAGTCAGGGTACCCAAACCACATTCACCCAGAATCCCATCCCTAAGACCAATCTGTGAGTTACTGAGGCTGTTTTGAAGATTTAGATTTTCTTCCTTCCTTCCCGTGCCCAAGTCCCTTTGTATGTCCGTGCTTTCACATTGCAGCAGCCTTAGGGGAGCTCTTCTTGACTGGGGCCAAGGTGTTGGCCTGGCAAGGACATGGACGCACCAAGGGTAGGAGAACAACTTCTCTGCAGACATCTTAATTCAACGAGTGTGTTCCAGGTGAACTGGCTGTGGTCACACACTTGTCATCAACATTGCCTGGAAGAGACAGAGTCCAAGCGACCAGCGCTTCTCAGTATATCCAGATTTTAATCAGAAACATTCCATTTTTCTATGTTCGTGAGTAATTCAAATGATTTTTTAGAATACAAAGGGGAAAACACAGATCTGTGAAGGAAAGTTGAACCCTCTGTAGTTAGAGAACTACTAGAAATAAGCTTTTCTGTAGCGTTTGCAGGCAATATGGGGAATAAGAAATGCTGGAGGGATTTGAATAATTACACCATTTCCCATTTATAACCCCTTATAATTTACAGGGTACCTTCCAGAAAGTTACATAATTTGATCTTCACAATAATCCTGTGCACTCACTAGTGTCACTCGGGTCGTCATTTCTGTCTCACAGAGGAAGTTTTAGACTGAAGGTAAAAACCTTGCCCAAGGTTCTTTGGTCATTGGCAGGCTCTGTTGCTTGTTCCTTTACAAGAGTAAATGAAGAGTATTCAGTTATCTTGTGGCCGGTACCTCAGACACATTGTCTCAATCCTTCCAACGTGGTGGAATGAGCTCATTTGAAAGATTAGAAACAGAAACTGTCAACATAAGTAGCATTTATCAAGGTTCAGTGTAGTGGTAGATTTTAGTGTGGGTGAAAGGCTTTCAATGGACAATCTTGTTTTATCCTCAAAACAGGTGCTCTAGATAGAAATGAGGAATTCAGGAGAAGAAAGGGAAAAATGAAGGTGGGGGAGTCAGAGGGGGAGATGAACCATGAGAGACTATGGACTCTGGGAAACAAACTGAAGGTTTCAGAGGGAAGGGGTTGGAGGGATGGCATAGCCCAGTGATGGGTATTAAGGAGGGCACGTATTGTGGTGAGCGCTGGGTGTTACACAAACAATGAAGCATGGAACAACACTACATCAAAAACTAATGAAGTGCTGTATGGTGACTAACATAACATACTAAAATAAATAAAAATGCTGAATATTAAAAAAAAAGAAATGAGGTATTCTTAGAATCCCAATTTTACAGAAGAGGACAAAGAGGGTTTTTTTGTTTGTTTGTTTGTTTAATGGTTAAATGCCTAGGATCCCAGAACCAGTTGGAATTTGAAGCCCAAACTGTCTCTTCACCACTTTGGTGTGCTGGGTACTGTTCATGCCTATATGTTAGGTTAACCTGAATGAGACTGCTGATACACAACAGTTTGCCTTCTACAATAGCCACTGCGTGTGGTTCAGCCTAATAATATGTACTTTTTTTTGTCTCCAGTCAATCTTAAACTAATTTTCAGAAACAGGAAACAACTATGAATAAGTGGATTGTTTGGGGGAGTTTATAGTTGCATTGAGAAATCTGCTAATCATTTATTAACTTAAGAAGGATTCCAAACTTGAAAACTGAGGAAAATCCATACATATTTGTCAAATTTAAGTAGAACTTTTCTTTTCCAAACATTTATTTTTGTTATAAACTGAGGATATCTAGGTTTTAATTGATTTTCAAGTGACAAGAGTTTCCTGAATGTTGCTTTGGTTTAATGGCACTGAAAGTGAGTGATAATGCTTGTATAATTATAAAATTATGAATAAAGGGACGCATCCTTTGGTCCCATATCTCAGTGGAGGAGTCTTACGTAGACATTGGTCTTTGTTTAACTTCCAACTCAAAAATACACATGAGATTCTTTGGTGGATTTGTGATCAGAAAGAGTTAGAATTAAATTCATTAGAGTTTGTCTCTGGTTTTTTTTTTTCCCTGTGAAGATGATTTTTTAAATAGCTGTTTTACTTACCTACACCTCATTAATAGTCTTCAGTTCATGAACAAGTCAACGCTCTGGCCTCCTTTCAATTTCAACAAAGACATGGGATGTCCTAGATGAAACCTCTGTAGAAATGCAAGAAGAGTCTTGGATCATACGTGTGCTAATTCTTCCTTGCAACACATGTTAACAAACATACATGGGATGCCTTTCTTCAAGTTGGTAATATTCAGCACCTGTACCTTTAAGTTAGAAACCTGGCAAGTTTTTTGAAGAAATTGATACCATCATCTTTTGTAAAAGAACTATGATGAGTGGGGCGCCTGAGTGGCTCGGTTGGGCGACCGCCTTCGGCTCAGGTCATGATCCCAGGGTCCTGGGATTGAGCCCCACATCGGGCTCCCTGCTCGGCCAGAAGCCTGCTTCTCCCTCTCCCACTCCCCCTGCTTCTGTTCCCTCTCATGCTGTCTCTTTCTCTCTCTCTCTGTCAATTAAATAAATAAATAAAATCTTAAAAAAAAAAAAAAAGAACTATGATGATTGAGTTGAGTACAAGCCTCCAAAATGTGTTTTGTAGGTTTCGTTTGGGTGTCCTTCAAATCAAACATGGTACCCATTAGTCTACTGCAGGTTTTAACTTGTGTTGTCAGTTTCCCTGCTGACACACACTATCATGCCATTGTCAAAGGAAGTGGGAAGTGGGTGTGTATATTCATAAGTGTTGTGGTTCAAAAAGTATTTTAAAGAAATAATATTAATAAAAAAGAAATTTTAATTATAAAATAATAATGTGTCTCATGCAGAGCAAGGCGTTACTGTCTCCTTTTGCTTTTGTGCTTGTGTAATACAGGGTGCATTTTGTGTAATTATGTACCCACGTTAGACAGTGGGGTGAGTCCTTGGGAAAAAACAGTGTGTACGGGATTTGTTATTATGTATAAATTCTACTTCACTAAGCAAAGAATTACAAACCTTGCTTAGGATTTATTGAAAGACTCTGTAATTTATCTTTCTGGCCTTCCTTTAGAAGATGTGTGATGGTGAATAGATTAGTGGCATTCTAGTGCTGATGTTTTTTATCATGTAGTCACTGCATATTATTGATTATAAGCTATATTTTTCAAACTTTGGCTGTTCATGAATCATCTTTATGGTTTTGTCCATATCTGAACATATTATCTATTATTTATGTGAAATATTATTTAAAATAACTTATTTTTTAACTTAAGTTTTCAAAAGGAAACTCTAATCACTGCTGTTACTATTATTTACTCAGTTAATTACTTTTTATTATATATAGCTGCCTTTTAAAATTTTAAAAAGTCGCTTTAAAAATGTATTGCTTTTTCACTTAATTTTAAAAGTAAACCTTATGTTACTACCATAACTTAGTAGCTAGATTTTTTTAGTCCACATTAAAAATATACACACTTATTAAAATAAAATAATAAAATGTAAAAATCCCTCCAGGTACTGCTCAGAATCACTTAGCGTACTGAGTCAAATGTTGGGAAAAGTGGCTAAAAGTAAAATGGACATTTCTTAAGAGAGTGGTCACCGTGCCACGATTGACACAGTTTTCTGTTAAAACTTGGCAAGGGTTTGCTCCCGCCCCACATGACCCTGAGAGTCAAGCCTGCCATTCAGTTAAAGAGGCGCCACGTGGTGTTCACCATCCTCCTTTTTTTAATAGTGCCCTGGCTCCCTCTATGGAGTCCCCTTATTAAGGAAAGGTGACCTTGACTTTGTAGGCATGTAGGGGTGATGGCAATAATGAATTTTTTATTTTCTCTGAAGCTAACTCTAAATTGGATTCAGCATCATATAAAAAGGTGACCAATTGAATTTCAAATGTAATGAGGATGAAGTTTTGCTATCCAGTACGGGTCGGCTTAGTAGTAGGTTCTTTGCAACTAAACAATGCGGCTTTCCTCCTGACTTCTGAAATCACCATGTCTAGCTGGGTAGGAACAACATCTCTTGTAATCTATTCCAGAAATGAAATACAGTGTGTTCTGGTTTTCTAGTTAAAAAAAAAAAATTTTTTTTAATGTGCTGAGAGATTTGGATGTGAAGTCTTGAAAAAAAACCACAAAGTATTCTTTCTAAAACATGCAAATTTGTCTCTCCATCACCTAGGAAACTATTATGGGACACCCAAACCTCCTAGCCAGCCAGTCAGTGGGAAAGTGATCACGACGGATGCCTTGCAAAGCCTTCAGTCTGGCTCCAAGCAGTCGACCCCAAAGCGAACCAAGTCCTACAATGATATGCAAAATGCTGGCATAGTCCATGCAGAGAATGAGGAGGAGGAGGATGTTCCTGAAATGAACAGTAGCTTCACAGGTAAGGACCAGAGCACCTTCCTCCTCAATGGACTCGGGGGAAGGGGTAGCGCGAGGCTTTTGCAGAGAGTGAAGAGGTGTCTGTTCTCAAGAACTATTCCGAAGGGTTGACACAATTCAAATTGACCACTCAAGGCTTGGGGAAGAGGTGGTCTTTTCCCTGATCTATTTTTCATGCTTCTTTGCAGGACTATTTTGACTTCGCCCACATATCTTAAAGGGGCTAGAGGGAAATGTCTGTATAAGGGAATTAAGAATAATCAGCATTGTTTCCTTCTCTTCAAAATATGTATTAAGAATATTTGTATTTTCTTCATTTATTTCTTGGTCTTGACACTGCTCCATAATTATGCCTGATGGCTTATAGAGAGAAATATGAGAATTTGTTTAACAGCTTAATATCCAGTGATGCTGTATAGAAGGCTAGCAGCATCCTTTTATCTCCTACCTTTGTGAGTAGAAATTATAATGGAACTGTATACTGTGTTCAGTTAACTTGTGCAATTTTTCCATTTGCCCCCATATGGAGAAAGATGGAAAAATAATAAATACTTGATTACTATATCTTACATATGTATTCTGTATTATATATCATACATTACTCATTGCATTATACACTTATTTTTTTTTAAGAATTTTATGTATATATTTGACAGAGAGAGACAGAGAGGGAATACAGGCAGGGGGAGTGGGAGAGGGCAAAGCTTAGGTATACTGTATTTTATGAGGGTATCTTCAAGGACAGTGCCTCTGGGTGAGACTATTGCAGGCTGGGTCTTGCACAATTCTTATGGGCACCGTTCACAGAGGTTATGATATATATTTCTTGAGTTAGTGTAGTGACCCCGAACTGTTCAAAAATATTTTTCACTTTATAGTAACTCAAGATGTAGCAACTGTATATAAGATAGGAGTCACTCCAGTTTATAATATAGTGACCTTGAAGAAAGTTTGTTTCTCCTATTTTTCCTCTGCTTAATTAATTTCTTCAATATTTTAGAGTATCGTTATGGAGTAGTTATGTATTTGCAGCAAATGAGATCTAACCCCTCCTCGTGACCATTCCTGACATCACCACACTTCAGTCATTACTTGATTAGACTCATTTCCAATAGAGGGGAAATTAGTTAAACTCTGTATTGAGTTAGCAAATCTAATAGAATATTTAGGAAAATGCTTTTATTAGTTGAATACTTTCTAGAGCCCATATAGGTCTCTCTGAAGTTCTCTAACTCATTAAGCCCAGAAGCCTAAAATTCTTCAAGATGACAATTAAAATAATTTTTGATGGTTTTGTTGTCATAACAGTAACCCACCCCTTCTGCAAGAAGCATTGGATAAAGAAGAGGAGACCTAGTTTATTATTCTAGCTTCTTGGTTCTCGGTAGTTGTCTTATTATGAATGTAATATCTAACTTCTCTCGTGTAAAATGGCTAAGGTTAAATCATATCTAAGCTCTCCCTTCCAGCTCCAAGAACTTGATTCCATGAAAATTTCCATTTTCCAATTAGAATGGTTAGGCCAGGGGCTGACCTGTAGTTGTAATAGCTAAGAGAAATTTACCATCTTTTACATATGCATTTAGTGAAAGCAGCTCATTTCATTTACTTAGAAATACTTGATTCATGTATAGTAGTCCTCACTGATGTGAAAGCAAATTATGAAAAAAAAAGTTAATATTTAAAAAAGTAGCTAACATTATAATGTCTTGATCTTTCAACAAATAGGGATAACAAATCATAATATAACCCAAAACATAGTTGTGGGCAACGAAGTAAGACCTTCAGAGCGATGTGCACTGAATAGTTCTGCCACAAGGACTGGACGGTCCCCAAGAAATGTGTGTGCCCTTATTTCTCCTCTATGAGGTAGATTTCTTGGTATAAAACAAGAATAAAGTAGGAATTGTTGACTATAGGTTTTAATGCTCTTCCTGTTTCTAGCTGCTACAAATTTTTGTCTCTAAAAGCCACGCCTCAGAAATTCTGACCCCACTGAATACTCCCTTGAAATCCTGGCATCAAAGAAAAACTTTGGGGTCCAGGTTGTCATTGCTGAAATCAGTGTGATCATTTGTTCTGTGCACACCCACACAAAAGCCAAGTGGCACCTTATTGTCTTCCTCAGCTTCCTGTCCTTAACACCAAGAAAAGTCAATAGGATGCAGAGAGAAATGATCTTCAGATATACATGTGATGGGCATCCTCAGTATGTTGAGTAAGTGCCTCCTCATTTACCAAACTACACCCATGACAGCTGACAACCTGTCACACCCTAACTCATATAAATTCTTACAAATAACTGACACTACCCAGTCTATGATATGTGGATCAAACTAGCTGTGTCAAAGCATTTTGCTCTCTGAACCACTTTCAGTAGCAATCTACCAGCCACTTGGAGAATAGAGTGACAGTAACATAATGAAGTCTTGGCTCCTGGTTGGAAGAGTTATGATAAAGGAATGAGTTTCATATACAAATAGAGAAACATGGTGGAGCTATTAAAAATATTTACTGGGATATTTTTAATTAACATGCTGTTGCTGCTATCTTAGCTGACTTCTGCTTTGGGTCTTCCGAAGGAGGTATGAAATGTCTAAATAATATGCCTGAATAATATTGGGAATGTCCGCAGGCAAAAGAGCAGGAGACTTGTGGCCAGAAGCATCCTGGGGAGGTGGCCACAATTCCTTCCCATCGTCCATGACTGAGGCAGGACCTGAGCAATGAAAAGTCATCCCAGATACTTCCCACAGAACTGACTGTTGAGCACAAACAACAGGGCAGTCTTCTACAAACTGTGCCTCAATTATGGACCTACAGGAGCCCTTGAGAATGAACACTCTTTATATGTGCTTCATGAAGGTAGAGTTACACTGCTGACCAAAGCACCCAGTTACACTAAATAAAAACATTTGTATAAGGACCTTATTTTAGACAGGTTGGAAAATCTGTAACTAACCATCACAACTAAAAAGTAGCTGGTGTATCCATTAACCCCCTCTAAGAGACATCAAATGTTATTTAATTATGTTTCGAGGCTTTTTTTTTTCCTCCCAGCAGTCCCCCTATTACTGAACATGAGGTTGCTGATGCTTCTCTTCCATTAGTAAGCAATGATAAAACATTGCTTTGGAATGTCAAGAGATGATATTACTTTAAGAGCTAATGTTTCTCAGGGCTATGTGGCAGGCACTTTGCTAAGCTTTTTACACATATACGAGGGAGGTCTAATAGCTTGTCTAAGATCACAGAGCCAGTGAGTGTCAAAAGCTGACTTCAGAGCCCGCAAGCTCGTCCAGTGTGCTATTTGTGTTTTAAGTCAAGTTTATTAGCTCTGTGTGCAGTCAGAGATGCACCTAAATCTAAAAGTAGAGATCATGTAATATAGGCTCCAGAAATGTATTTTTGACAACAGCGTATATTCTCAGAGTCACCTTCAGAAGCCCCCAAGTATGCGTATGTGTATATAAATGTTTGAGACCTTCTTACTTGCTATAAGTGAAAAAGTTATTTATGTTCATTTATGGTTTACAAGTCATTTTCACATGTATCCTATAAACTACCTGGAAATGCTGAGAGCCAAGCAACCTAGGCATTACCTTTCCCATTTTGCAGATGAGAACACTGAGGAACAGTGTGTGTTCCCCCACTAGACAGTGGGAGAACCAAGCTTCCTCGTTCCTCCGTCAGCCTGTGTTCCAATAACCCCTTCTACCTATCCTGTTTGGATCCATTGGCAACCTTTCGTAAGAGAGTGATAGCAGTGCTCCTAAATGTTTGGTAAATCAGATAAAAGATTTTCTAAAATCAGAGCATATGTTGAAGTCAAAGCCATGATTAGGACTATGAATTTGTAAGTCTGTACTCTGTCCCAGCCTCTCATTGTTGGACTTTTCATTTTTTTTGAGAGAATGAGGTTGTTTAAGGTTCTGTTGAACTGGAAAGAAGACACAGAAAGCCAAATACATCAAATTGTTTACATTAAATATCTATAGCTTTTTTTGGTTACTCAATTAGATTGGAGGAATCCTTTGACAGTATATACGCATATCAAATCATCATGATGTACACTTTAAATATCTTACAGTTTTGTAAGTTATACCTTAGTGAAGCTAAAAAGTCTTGATAAAAAATATCTATAGCTTTTTTATGTCAATGATACCTCAAAGCATTTTTTATGAAGACATGAAAAATATATAAAATAAGAAAATATTTGGATAATTTAAAATAAGGTCCAGTCGCTAGAGGGATTTTCATTTTTCCTTAGGAAGTTACAGTTACTTAGATATTTTGCCATTGCACTTAATATTCCCTTCCCATAGTTGAGGTTATGGAACCCTGGCAGGGCTTTCTTCTTCTTTTTTTTTTTTTTTAACATAAATTATATATACTCCATGTTAAGGTAAATCATTTCATATTTATGTCCCACCTATTGCCACAACCCTTTTCCTGTTACATCCAGTTTCTATTAAAATGGGTTAATCGGGGCGCCTGGGTGGCTCAGTTGGTTAAGCATCTGCCTTTGGCTCAGGTCATGATCCCAGGGTCCTGGGATCAAGCCCTGCATCGGGCTCCCTGCTAAGTGGAGAGCCTCCTTCTCTCTCTCCCTCTGCTGCTCCCCCTGCTTGTGCTCGCTCTCTCTCTCTCTCTCTCTCTCTCTCTCAAATAAATAAATAAAATATTTTTTAAAAATAAAATGGGTTAATTAAAATTCTTAGGTAAAGTTATTGAATGTCATCCATTGTCCTGGTACTTCTCTAGCTCTTAAATATTGTGTTAAAAGATGATCACTGGCTCTGGTACATTTGCATTTCCAGAAGCAGGTCCCAGTCCTGAGCACACATGATGCCCACGCTGAGTGCCAGGCGCTTTGGCAAGCATTTTATGTGTCCTCAGTCCTTCAGTTCTCATGGCTTGTGCATCATTCCCATTTTACAGATGAGGAAACAGATGCTCAGAACGGTAATCAGTCTGTTCTGAAGTTACACCGCTAGAGACAGGCAAACCTATGATTTCGTCTGTGGTCTGATGTCACATGCTTCCTTTTCCTGCCAATTTCCTGAGGGCCAGCTCTGACCTAGAGACAAAGGTTAATCATAATAATGTTGATGAAGAAACTGATGATGATGGCAGCTAACAAGTACGGTTAACTGTATACTAGACGCTGTCCTGAGTGCTTTACTCCTGCAGTCCTCCCCACAACCCCGTGGGCTTGCTGTGGTTATCCCCATTTTATAGATGAGGAAGCCAAGGCATACTGAGGTTAAGTAAGTGTGTTGCCCACATTAATAAGGATTAATTCAGGATTCAAAGTCAGGCAGTCTGGCTCCTGAGTCAGTGCTTATAATCAGTCTCTCTCTCTCTCTTTTTGTGGTTGTGCCATATTGCCTTTATTTTTTTTAAAGGAATTGTGATTGAAATATTGGGCGTTTTTGCATAAAAATAGAGATTCCTACCTTGTCTTGAAAAATCAGAGATCTGGACTCACTGAATCCGCTTTTCCTCAGGATGCTAACTACCTGGCGCTGCGTTCCCTGCTCCACTCAGACAGGTTGTGCTCTCTCCAGTGCTCCCTCCAGACCTATCACTTGTGCCTCGGACCTGGCACGGCAGACCCAGAAGTTTGCCCCGTACTCTGGCAGGAGGACAGAACCCCTCTTAGAAGCTGAAGGTTCTAGTGATTCTTTTGAGAATTCATAATCTCCGTCCTCCAAGTATGATTCTTGTATCTGAATCTCCATCACTGGGTGCTGTCAAGATGCACGTTTTGGAACCTTCTCCCAAACCTACTCTCTGTAGTAGGGAGTCAGAATCAGCATGTTAGCATCTCTCCAGGTGATTGTTATGTCCACTTATAAATGTGAGAAGTGTACATTCTAACAACATCAGAAATGAATATACCTTGGCTCCTAGAGAAGTAAGGGTGACTTTTTGAAATCTTGCCAAGTTTTGAATTTATTTTTTTATTGATCAGTAATTTCAAAATGTTTCTTCCGTGTTGGCCTAATTTCCTTTTTCTCCTTCAGCATTTTAGTAGTTGCTTTCTTAATCTGCAGTCATGGATACAAATTGTAAAACCAATTCAAATTGGCTTAAGCAAGAATTTAGGGGATCAAGCAGTTGAAGAGGCCAAGAGTACATGGAATCAATGGCTCAATTAGGGCCATTTGGTGACTTTCTCTACCTTTCCTTTCTGCTTTCCTCTGTGTAGGCTTAATTCTAAGGCAGGTCTTGCCAAGCTGTGTCAAGATAGCCACCAGCACCTACAGCATGAGAATCTGTCAGCTGAACAATCTCAGCATCAAGAGGATAATTCCAGCAGACACTTCTATGCCTGACATTCATTGGTTTGCTTTGGATCATGTGCCTGATCCGATCACAAAGGCAAGAGTGATAATGTGACTTAGAAACACCACCTGACCTAGGAGTAGGTTTAAGTCAGTCCCCATCTAGACCACCAGGACCTTGAATGGACAGATTTCCAAAGGGAGGTCTGAGAGGGGGTTCTAGGGAAAGATGGGAGAGATGCAAGGCAGCCTCTTCGATGGTGGGGGATTTTTGGTGGAGGTGCCTGTTTAGCAGGCTCAGCATGTCCTCCTTCCAAATGTTGAATTACCTTCATTCTCATGTGCATCACTGGGCACTACTCATGAGAGAAAGAGTGGAAAACAGCCTTTTATTATTCCTCAGTCTGCTTTCAGAAATCAGAAATGTCTACAGGAAAATTACTGGGGGAGATAGAAAATAACTACAAGCCCTGATTATTATGTTTTAAAGCCCCATGGAGAATGATGTTTAATATTCTTGTCCTCTATAAGAATTCAGCCAGAATGTCAACAGTGCCATTTGTGGATACTTTGATGATGTCACCTCTTGATGTTTCTAGTTCATAAGAAGGCAAGGAGATTCACGTACTTAGAGTCTTCTCTTAAGACCCAAGTCAAATTAGTCCACCCACATGATCCTGTTCTGGGGGTAACTGTCTTGGTTTTCACAGGAACATTCCCCTCACTTTTCCAAAAGAGGCTTGCGTCTGACTCACTGGTATAACTGTGTCTATATTCTGAAGTTTTGTGTACTTTCCAGTTTGATGTGTCAGCCTTTGATCTTTGCCACTGTCTACCAAAAATGTTTTAAATAATTGATCCAAAAATGGTAAAGATGCCACTGTATCTGTGTCTTCAGCATGGACTTTATTCTTGCTCTCTGATACCCAGTGAGTCATGAAACCAAATCATACCTAATAGAAGAGTATGGCTGTCTGTGTTTCGATGTCCTTATTAGTACAAGAGACTTGAGGTTTTGAGCATGAATTTGTTTCTTCTTGGGCATTTCCAAGATTTCGAGCAATGCATTATCTGAGCACGTCTTTCTCTTCTTTCTTTTTAGGTATAATAACTGTGGTATGTCACTTTGATGTTTTCTATTGAAAGATCTTCCATCTAAATAAAATGGAATAGAGTTGATGGCCAGCAATTAGGAAAGAGTGAGGGCTTTTGAAAATATAGATGCAGACAGTAGTGGACTCCCTGGTTTGGGATATGATTGATGAGTTTCTTTTCTCTCTCTCTCTAACTCCCCGCAACTTAACAGCCGATTCTGGTGACCAAGAAGAGCACATTCTCCAAGAAGCAGCCCTACCGCCTGTGAATACTAGCATCGTTGCTGCCCCCAACACGGACGCTTCTCAGAAGTTCCCTCAATACCTACCTCTTTGTGCAGAGGATAATTTAGGTCCTCTACCTGAGAACTGGGAGATGGCCTACACCGAAAATGGAGAAGTCTATTTTATAGAGTAAAGTATACCATTCCTCCTCCCTGAACTTCTCTTCCTTTCTCTCTTCCCCCTTCCCGTTCTCTAGGGGCTGCGCTGGTAAATTACATCTAGAAGGACTGGTCACGGGCTCATGGTATTCTTTTATACAATTTAACCAGCTTTGTCCAGAAAAACAGTTAGCATAGCATCCTAACCATTGAGTCTGAGGAGCTTGAAGAAGCATAAGGTTAATAATTTCCCTATAAAGAGTGGGACACTACATTTTGGTGTATATATAATGGCATAGTATATAAAGAATATATTGAGCCATTAAGAAGAGGTAAATCCTCTGCTTATTTTTTCTTAATTGGGTGGCAGGGTTTTTTGTTTTGTTTTGTTTCGTTTTTGTTTTGTTTTTGGTTGTGTTTTCAGAGTTCCTCATACATTGTGGATACAATTCCTGTATCATTGCTGTGGTTTGTGAACATTTTCCCCAAGCCTGAGTTTTCTTTTCATTGCTTGACTGTGTCTTCCAGAGTTCTTAATTTTGAAGAAGTCTGATTTATCAGTGTTTTTCTTTTGTGGGCTGTGCTTTTAGTGTGCTGAGAAATTTTTGCTTAGATCAAAGTTCTAAAGCTGTCATTTTCTGCTATTTTTGTTTTAGAAGTTTTATAGTTTACATTTTACACTTAGGTCTCTGATCCATTTTAAGTTTGTTTTTTTGTTTTTCTTTTTACATGGCGCAAGTACATGGATTAAAATTTGAGAATATGGAAACCACCCCCCCCACCCCCACCCTTATCTGAAGTCTCGCTTTGCATGGTTTTAGTTACTCGTGGTCACTGTGTTCTGGAAACAGATGCTTCTCCTGAGATACTGTCAGATCAGTAGTAGCCTAATGCTACATCACAGGGCTTATGTCAGTCACCTTGCTTCATCTCACCACATAGATATTTTATCACCTCACGCCATTACAAGAAGGGTGAGTAGATGCACTAAGGCATTTTGAGAGAGAGAAAGAACACATTCATATAATTTTTCTTATCGTTATTGTTATAATTGTTCTCTTTTAGTTACTGTTAGTCTCCTACTGTGCCTAATTTATAAATTAAACTTCATCATAGGTATGTATTACAGGAAAAGACATGGTATATGTAGGATTCAGTCCAATATACAGTTTTAGGCATCCTCTGGAGGTCTTGGAACTTAGCCCCTATGGATAAGGGGGGATTACTGTACATGGATATGAAAAGTCTTTCAAAATTATAAAACTTATATATACTTATGTATATATACATAATATATAATACATATTATTAAAGTTAAACATTTAATAAATAACCTTGACTAAAAATGGGTAAGTATACAGTTGTAACCATTCTAAAAAATCTAAGATAATATAATTTTTTAACGAGTAATAGTCAATTTTTAAAATGCTGCACTTTGGCTCTATTATCAAGATTCTCTGTTAAGATTTACCACAGTTTTATGTACCACTAAAAAAGAAAAACGAAAAGGCCAATTAAACTATAAAATAGATAAAAATATAGGTAAATCTGTTAAATAGATTGAAGTTGAAGGTCTGCTGTTCAGTGAACAATAACAAGGCAAAACTGACAAAGAAAAAAATTAGAGAAGACACAAATTACCAGCATTAGGAATTAAACAGGGAATCACCACAGACCCTAAAGACATTAAAAGGTAATCAGAGAGTGCTGCCAACAAATCTATACACATAAATTTGACAACTTAGATAAAATGGACCAATTTCGTGAGAAGCATCAACTACCACAACTCATCCAATATGGAATAGATAATTTAACTAACTCTATAACTATTAAGGAAAATGAATTTGTCATTTAAAAACTCGTGAAAAAGAAATCTCCAGGCCCAGATGGTTTCACTGGAGAACTGCTCGAAGAATTACATTTCTATACAGTCTCCTTCTGAAAATAGAAGTAGAGGAACACTTAGCAATTATGTTTATGAAGCTATTGTTACCTTGTTACCAAAAAAACAAGGACAGTCTAAGAAAAAAGAAAACTACAGAGTTGGGGAGTGCCTGGGTTGCTCAGTAAGTTGAGTATCTGACTTTTGGTTTTGGCTCAGGTCATGATCTCGGGGTCCTGGGATCGAGCCCTGCATTGGACTCCATGCTCATCTTGGAGTCTGCTGGAGATTCCTTCCCTCTGCCTTCCCTGCTTGCCACGCACTCTCTCTCTCTCTCTAAATAAATAAATAAGTAAATAAGTAAATAAATAAAAATCTTAAAAAAAAAAAAGAAAAGAAAAAGAATTATACACCATGACCCAAGTGGGAATTATCCTGGGGATACAAGATTGGTTCAGTATGTGAAAAATTCCTAAAAATAATCTACCATATTAAGATACTAAAGAAAAAAAAGTCACATGATCGTATTCATCAATGCAGTGTTTGACACAATTCGGCACTCATTCGTTATAAAAATTCTCAGAAAAATAAGAACAGAGGGGAATTTTCTTGACTTGATAATGTCTACCAAAAATGTACAACTAACATTATACTTAGTGGTAAAAGACAAAAAAAAAAAAAAAATACTTTCCCTGCAAGATTAGGGACAAGTCAAGGATGTTCGCTCTCACCACTTTTTTTTTTTTTTTTAAGATTTTACTTATTTATTGGCGAGAGTGTGTGAGGGGAAGGACAGAGGGAGCGAGACAAGCAGACTCCTCAATGAGCTTGGAGCCCCACACAGGGCTCAATCTCACAACCCTGAGATCATGACCTGAGCTGAAACCAAGAGTTGGTTGCCTAACGAACTGAAGAGCCACCTCAGTTCCCACCTCTCTTAATCAACATGATCCTGGAAGTTCTAGCCAGGATAATAAATCAGGAAAGAGAAATAAAAGACCTACAGATTGAAAAAGGAGGAGTAAAACTATCCCTCAATGCAGATTACATGAATGTACACAAGAAATGTACAAAATTACAAAATATGTACAAAAAACGTTCTAGAATAAGTGAGTTCAGCAAGATCACAAGAGATAAGCATGCATGTATATCTATATGAATATGTGGACAACAAAATTCAAAATAAAATATAATTCACATTTACTTCCAGAAAAACACCAGTTACATGTAAATCTAACAAAACATATACAGGATGTTATATGCTACAAACTACAAAATATTGATAAAAGAAATCAAAGGAGGTCTAAACAAATGGAGAGATGTCCCCTATTCATGGATTGAAAGACACAATTGTATAGTAAAGATGTCAGTTCTCCCAAAATGGATATGCAGGTTAAATGCAAATCCTGTCAAAATCTCAGTGAGGTTTTTTGTTAATATAGACAAGTTTATTTTAAAATTTGTAAGAAAGGCAATAGAACTAGAATAGCTGGAAAAGTTTTTTTGTTTTTTTTTAAACCCACAACCCTGAGATCAAGACCTGAGCTGAGATCCAGAGTCAGACAGTTAACCAACCGAGCCACCCAGGTGCCCCTAGAACAGTTTTGAAAGAGAAGAATAAAGCTAGAGTAATCAGTCTACCAGATATCAAGACTTATTATAGAGCCACAGTAACAAAGGCTGAGTGGTATTGGTGAAGAAATGGGCACGTACATGAATGAAACCCAGAAACAGATCCACAAATGCATCCAAGTGATATTCAACAAAGATGCCAAAGCAATTCAATGCAGGGAAGATAGCCTTTTCACAGAAGTGGTATTAGATTAAGTGTTTAGCCAGAAGTAAATAAATTAATCTCAACCTCAACCTCACACCTTATTCAAAAAATTAACTCAGACTAGATCATCACAGACTTAAGTGTAAAATACAAGGCAATTAAACTTTTTGAGAAAAAAATTTGGGGGGGCTCTAGGACTGGACAAGGAGTTAGTTCTTAGACTTGGCATCCTGATTGACTTATTTCACTTAGCATAATACCCTCTCGTCTCCAGAGGTTGGCTATTGTGGACATTGCTGCTATAAGCATCGGGGTGCAGGTGCCCCTTCGGATCACTACATTTGTATCTTTGGGGTAAATACCCAGTAGTGCAATTGCTGGGTCATAGGGTAGCTCTATTTTCAACTGTTTGAGGAACCTCCATACTGTTTTCCAGAGTGGCTGCACCAGCTTGCATTCCCACCAACAGTGTAGGAGGGTTCCCCTTTCTCCGCATCCCCGCCAACATCTGTTGTTCCCTGACTTGTTAATTTTAGCCATTCTGACTGGTGTGAGGTGGTATCTCATTGAGGTTTTGATTTGGATTTCCCTGATGCCGAGTGGTGTTGAACACTTTTTCATGTGTCTGTTGGCCATTTGGATGTCTTCTTTACAGAAATGTCTGTTCATATGATCTCACTGATACAAGGAATTTGAGAAACAAGACAGATAATAGGGGAAGGGAAAAAATGAAACAAGATGAAACTGGAGAGGGAGACAAACCATAAGAGACTCTTAATCTCAGGAAACACACTGAGGGTTGCTGGAGTGGAGGGGGGTGGGAGGGATGGGGTGGCTGGGTGACAGACATTGGGGAGGGTATGTACTATGGTGAGTGATGTGAATTGTGTAAGACTGATGAATCACAGACCTGTACCCCTGAAACAAATAATACATTATATGTTAATAAAAAAGAAAGAAAGAAAGAAAGAAAAGAAGGAAGGAAGGAAGGAAGAAAGAAAACAAAACATGAACCCTAAAAGGAATCATTGAGGGGTACCTAAGTGGCTCAGTTGTTAAGCGTCTGCCTTCGGCTCAGGTCATGATCTCAGGGTCCTGGGATCCAGCCCCACCTTGGGCTCCTGCTCAGCAGGAAGCCTGCTTCTCCCTCCCCCACTCCCCCTGCTTGTGTTCCCTCTCTCCCTGTCTCTGTCTCTGTCAAATAAATAAATAAAGTCTTTAAAAAAAAAAAAAGGAATCATTGATAAATACGATGTCATCAAAATGAAAAACATTTGCTTCAGAAAAGACCCTGATAAGAGGATAAAAAGGCAAACTACAGACTGGGAGAAAGTATTTGCAAACCCCATATCTGAAAATGGATTGATATCTAGAGTATATAAAGAGCTCTCAAAACTCAACAGTAACATTAAAAAAATTCAATTAGAAAATGAACTACAGACGTTTCACTGAAGAGGATATACAGATGGCAAATAAGCACATGAAAAAATGTTCACCCTCAGCCATTACGAAAATGCAAATTAAAATCACAAAGATATCATTATATGCCTATTAGGATGGCTCAAATAAAAAAAATAATAACAGTAAATGATGGCAAAGATGAAAGAAACTAGATCACTCATACATTGCTGGTGGGTATGTAAAATTGTATGGCATTCTAGAAGACAGTTGGGGAGTTTCCTATAAAACTAAACATGCAACTACCATATGACCCAGCAATTGCACATTTGGCCAGAGAAGTGAACACTTAACATTCACACAAAAACCTGGACATGAATATTTATAGTAGATTTATTCCAAAGAGCCAAAAACTGGAACAACATACATGTCCTTCCATGGTTAAACTCTGGTACATTCATGCCATGGAATACTACTCAGCAATAAAAGGAATTAATTATCAATATATGTGACAACCTTGGTGAGAATTAGCTGAATGAAAAATAGCAATCCCCAAAGAGTACGTATGTATGAGTCCATGGAACATTTTTGCAATGACAAAACCGTGGAGAACATAGATTAGTGGTTGCCAGGGATTTAAAGGGGGCTTGAGGGGGCAGAGACTTGAAGAAAACCAAGTGTGGCTGTAAAAGGGTAACAAGGAAGAATCCTTGTTATGATAGAAATGTTTTCTATCTTGACCGTATGGAGATCAATATCCCAGTTGTGACAATTTACTTTAGTTTTGTAAGATGTTACCATTGGGGGAATCTGAGTAAAGGGCATGTGGGATCACTCTATGTTCTTTCTTAGAAATACATGTGAATCTATAATTATCTCAAAATACAAAAGTGTTTTTTAAAAAACACAAATAATCTTCCCTCCTAGCAATGGCCATTTTTACTATCTTGCTGGTGTAGGAATAGCACAGACCATGGGTTCTAGTGTTGGACTCCCTGGGTTTGTTGCCAGTGTTGCTAGGTATCAACACACAGTAGCCTTGTACCAATTCTCTCGCCTCTGTCCTCATTTTTCTCATCTGCAAAATGTATTAATACTTATTAATAGTTCCTTCATAGGGTTATCTTAAGGATTAGTAAATTATAACATACGTGTAAAAGAACAGATTCTGGTAGTTGTAAGTGACGACAGTTGTTACTATATTACCTTCCATTTGTTTTCTTTTCCTTTTCATACAGTTGAGATGATTTGTATATACATTTGCATTATTTTTCACTTAAGCCTTAGGTTTTTTCAACAATTAATAAGACTTGAATCTCAAATAACTGTGGCGATGTTTTTCAGCATTTATGACCTAAACTGCAGACTTTAAAAAAAACAGTTGAAGTTACTACCTCAATTTCCCCCCCAAAATTTTTTTCATTTCTTGTTTTCATTTCTGGTTTGCAGCGTGAACTGCTGGCCTTGTACTTCATTGCCCCTCCCATTGAGCTTGCCATAGTGTGGCCCAGGAGCTCACGCAGAACTTTGTCCCGGGGTCCTGAGCTGCTTCCGGGCAGTTCCTCCAGACATTCTCATGACGCTTCTAACATGGTTGCAGGGCAGTAATCAGGAATATTACTGTACACTCTCAGACCTTCAAGGCCTCGCTCATTGTCTGTTGAAACACTTCATCTGGAGTCGGGCTGTGCCCTCCAGAAGGCAGACATGGTTAGCTTCTTCAAGCTTTGTGGGATTTTTTTGGCCCAGGTTCTGTTTATGGTAGGTAATTCCGGGTTGCCTTCACTTTGTGTGCAACGAAATTCAGGATGCTGTGATTAATGATAGGTATTAGCCGCTGTGAGCCAATTGCTTGAACTGAGGTAGTTTCACAGTGTCAGGGGAAATCTTATGTAATATAATGAGTGAAATAGCAGCCTTCTTTGTGAATTCCAGCATCCAAGGTTTAAGTCGAGGCAAATTTAAAGCAAATTGGAGTTTGCTTTTCTGCAAAAGTGAAGACTAATGTAAGTCTAGACAAGGGGAGACAGTATGGACAGGGGGTATCATTTGGAACTCATTTTCAAAAATAAAACTGGCATCACATGTTAAGCTTTCCGTAATGGAATGATTATACCTTAGATAAGTAAAAAGTCTATCTAAGGCCCTTCCCAAGCCTTTTCAGATTCCAAACTTGGGCTCTCTTCTGGGTTGGGTTTGCTGTTGGAAAGTAGCTTTGCTCTGGTTGAGGGGAAATGTTCAAGAGTGTGTAATTCTTTTGTCATTGAGGTTTTTGCTTTTTTTTTTTTCCTTTTCAAATGTATTTTTTGTTTTTGTTTCTTGATTTCAGCCATAACACAAAGACAACATCTTGGTTAGACCCTCGGTGCCTGAACAAGCAGCAGAAGCCTCTGGAAGAGTGTGAAGATGATGGTAAGGGGCTAGGAAGGTCTTGGTTTAAATGAGCTGGGGGCTTGTTCACATGTGCAAGTTTTAAGGAGTTATATAGCAAGGTCAATCAGGTTTTAACAAGTGAGTTTTTAAAAGGTCATCCAATTTCTAGAAAGTGACCTGTAGTTTCCAAAAGCAGTAGGGGAATCAGAATTGTTTTAAAAGCGCAGTTTGTTTACACATAAAGGCAGATGCATGCCAGTATCTCCATTAGAAACAGAACTTTAAGACAGACTATTTCAATGAAGATAAGACCTCTGCCTTCCTTCAGGACCTTGGAGAAAACTCAAGAAAATCTCTAGGAATATAGAAACCAAAGTTGCCCTGGATACTTACCTATCGGATCCTAATCCTATATTGTAAAAGTCTTAAAGGAAAAAATTAAGAGCATCTCTTAAATTCTACATGTTCATAACTTGACAAAGGGAAAGCAGATCTTGACTTCTTAGGATATATCGTCATTATCTGAAAAGTACATTCTTCTAAGAAAGGGCCTGAGGTGTTACCCTTAGCCTGACTCTGCTTGTTAATCTCAAAAAAGAATCAATTGGTATTCTGAAAAGTTTATTTCAAAGTTTTGGGATTTCTAATTACTTTTCCAAAATGAAAAAAAAAATTAGAACAAATGTGTGCCTTTTCAGTACACCAAAGTCTATCCCAAGTTCTACCAGAATTACTTTTTTGACATGGACGAATTAAAAGGGAAATGGCTTGTTTTGCTACTCATTCATCTCTGGCATTTGAATTAGTGGTATAATTATGGAGTACCTATTTTACTGTAAGATAATGAAACTATTAATTTGTCCTATGGCACAGAATTGTATATATATATATATATAAACTTGAGGTTTGTCTGAAAATGTAAGCCAGTAAAGCGTAATACTGCCAAAACTCCTAGATCCTTCTGCTCTACACGGATTGCAGATACCATGAAATGAGCATAAAATTGGGTGTTCATATTTATCTATAGAGTGACTCCAAATGGAAATACAAATCCTTCTGACTAAGGAGGCATGACTGAGATGCTCATTTTATTTTGGTTGCTTAGTCCCGTTCCTGAAGAAGGAATGGAACATGTGTGGTCAGCTTCATTATTTGCATGCTTCAGGGATAAGGAACTGTCTGGATTATTCAAATACTATGTTTCATATATAATATAAAAGTGACCAATTTTCAAAGATCAGAACGTAAAATACATTCAACCATAAAATTTCAGGGACCAAAATTTAATCTTTATTTGATGCTTGATGATTGTGAAGGCATTTTCGACTTCTTATTACCATAAGAGAGCTTCAGTGTCGATTTCCATTATAATTATACTGGGAACAAAAATACCTGTTAATATAGTTTATAGATGATAGAAGACTCCAGTAGCTTTTACCAAGAGACACTTAATGGAATAGAAGTGTTGAGTAGAATTGCTGAATTATTTTGTGACCAAATCTAGTACAGTTGACCCTTGAACAACATAGGTTTGGACCACACTGGTCCACTTTTGTGCAGATTTTTTTCCATAAATGTATTAGAAAAAGTTTTGGAGATTTCTGACAATTTGAAGAACCTGCAAATGAATCTTAGAGCTTTGAAGTACCAAAAATATTAAGAAAAGATTATTGTAAGAATATAGTATATAATACTTAGAATGTACAAAAGAAGTGTTAATCGAATATATTATTGGTAAGGTTTTCAACAGTAGACTACTTGTAGTTAAGTTTTGGGGAAGTCAAAAGTTACACACAGATTGTTGACTGAGGAGAGTCAATACCCCCAACCCCTGTGTTTTTTTGTTTTTTGTTTTTTAAACCCTTGTGTTGTTTAAGGGTCAACTGTTATTTTTAATTCTTAGAATTTTTGTCATTGGTGTTAATGATATTATCTCTGGAACAAGTATGTATTCATACCAAATACCATTAGTTTATGAATTATCCTTTCAACATTAGGATTCACAGAACCTTTTTCTAGGAGAAATTATATGCATGTCTGTGTGCCTGTATACACAAACAGTATAAATATATAACCAAATGTTACCACTCTGTCATTTATCAGTTCCAACACCTGCATTTTCTGTTGCCTGTTAACACAAATCTGCCTTGTGTTGTTGTTTATGTCACGACACAAAGAAGAATAACATTGTTGGTCACACAGTATTCCTCCTGTATTTCTTTCTGTTCTCTGGAAGTCATACACACATGGAATGTAACAATACAGCATCATACTTATTGTAAAAATTTTATATATTGTTTCCTAACTCAAAAAAGTGATGAACTGGTTTGGGATTTTGATCCTCAGTGTATAACTCCTTTTGTTGTTTCTGTGTATCGAGTTGAATTAGAAGCCTTTCACCTTGCCTCTGAGCTCCAGGCCAATATTTGAATCTGCCTATGCTCTTTGTCTGAAAGAGACTTCAACCTAGTCTCCTTAAAACCCAACTAATGATCTTTTCCCCACCCCCAAACCTGGTCCTCTGTAAGTGTTCCCTATCTCGGTCGAGAGTAAAATTCATGCATACCTAACAGTGCCCCTTGACCTACTACTTCTCTTGACATTCATTTCAACCCATCTACCCTCTGAATTTACTTTGCCTCCCAGATATCTCTGGAATCCATTCACTATTTTCTTCACCACCTGTAGCATCCTAATTCAGGCCACACTCATCTCTCACCCAGACTCTTTCCCACTCTCCTTACACTGTACCCAGAGCAGTCTTTTAAAATGTCAGTGTGATTGTGTAATCATGGACCACCCCCTCAAGCCCTATTCACTGGTTCTCTGCACCATAAATTCTCAGCCTCCCCATAGCTGGTCCCCAAGCCCTAAGTGGTTTGACCTCTGGCTTTTCTCACTCTTACTCCTCTCCACTCTGCCCTTCATCCCTACTAGTTCTCTCTTAGAATATTCTTACACTTCACAAACAGTTATTGATTGCCTTCTATATTTCAAGTATGTCCTAAGAACTTCAGATGTATCAATGAACACAACAGTCAAAATGCCCTGCTGTCAGAAAGCTCAAATTTCAGTCATTCGTCACTGTAAGTCTTTTTGTTAAATTGTTCATACCCTTTAGGTTATAGCTCAGGGACTGTTTCCTTGACCTTGCCCCCAGATATGAGGTCACTCTGTGATGTGTGTTACCTTAGAGAAATAATCACAATTTTAACTTTAGTTTTATTTATGGGAGTTTGGGATTTGTCTCCTCCTCCAAAAGGATATTTGATCTGTCCCTTTGCACAGTGACTGGCCCATAGTAGGTCTCTCTCATTAAATGCTTATCAGAGAAATGAATGAATGCACCCCCAAAGACATTAGATAATATTTAAATGGGCATTTTCTTGAAAGATTTTGTGTAAAAAGGATTCCATTTTTCAGAGACAATGCCAACACCAAAACTTATTGTTGGCAATTGAATCACTTTTAAGTCAAGACTTTACAAGGCGTATAGTGCCTTGTTGATTACTGAAGTCAGTAATGGAGACATCCATCCATCCATCCATCCATCCATTTTGAAATATTTAGTACTTACCATGTACCAAAAACTCCTGGGCACTGGGCATTTTGCAGTGGTGAAAACGATTTTATTCCCATGTTTGTGGAGCCTACAGTACATGGGGAACAGCCACTTGCTCTGTAGCTGGAGAGACTTTATGCATGAAATGATTGTTGTGTGCTGTTCTGTGTTCTCGGTTATCATACAGCATTTTACTTACAGCAGGAGGAGGTCGAGCATGGAAAGGATCTGGACTGGTTTTGCCCCCTGACTTACTGAGAACATTTTCATTCTAATATTTCTGAGCTGTTTGACTTAGAAATCCTATACAAACTAAACGATGCCTTCCCACACTCATTTCAGGGCAGCCTTCAAGCCTGCTTTCCCAGCGTGCAACATCCTGACATAATTCCTCTCTAACTCCCTCTGTAAGACGCTGTTAAGTGTAGTGCATTTTACAATCTGCATTCTCAATTTGACCTCACCTTCCGTTTTTCAGGCAGCAGTATTACTTCTAGGTTAAGTAATGCTTTAATTGTGAGTATAATTGCCTCACTGATTAGAGGATTATTACAGGACTAAAAGGTCTAATATTGAAAGGTGCAACAGCTTTGTTTTCCTGAAATAAGGTCTGTAATAAGTGACTTCCCACTTTAAGAACATTGAAACCGCGAAGGTATTTGTCATTTTCTACCACCAATCAAACCCCATTCTGACACGCAAGGAAATGAGCCATATAATTATGTTGCCAATATCAGCTCTTGCCGTTTTGTGATTCACACTGAGGTCTTCGGTTTACTAGCCAAGCCAATGAGATAGGCCACAATGCAGGTAAGGACAAAACGGCGTGATGTGTTTGCTGCTGTTTTTCTGAGGGGAGTTTTCTTTCTTGGTGTTGGTGTCTGAATTTTTCTTTCTCTCTTTTCTGTCTCATTCCCGCTATTCCTTTGGAGAAGAAGGGGTCCACACCGAGGAGCTGGACAGTGAACTAGGTAAACCCTCCCTCCCAGCCTGCTCCCGCTGCATGACTTGCCCTGAATGCTTTTTGTCTCCAGCGAATTGCTTATTCCTTCAGTTTCTTTAGTTTACACTTCTTCAATGATGATTTTCATTCCAGCTTATCCATGAAAGGTCAGTCTTACAATCCTAATGTCTGACTTGCAGGCATCATGCAGAGTTGTAATAAGTTGTGTCTACAAAGAAAATGTCTGAGTGCATCAAGACTAGAACGAGAGTTAGCAAATTGGTGCTAGGTACTCTTGGGAACTGAGGATTAAGAAGAGCCTTGAGAGGGTAGATGCTTGCTGTGTGCCTTCATCTCTGGTATGACCTACCTCCGCCTCATTTCTTTGTTTGGTGCGGGTGGTTATCTCCATGGGCCGTGCAGAAAAGCAAAGCAAAACTAAAAAACCACCAAACACACTAAGGATCTTTGTAGGAGTGATAGCAATACAGTAATTCTCCTGATCAGCTGAATAGTTAATAAGTCTTAGTCTTGGGTTTTTAAGTCACGAGCCTCGTGGTGACTTTGTAGATGTAGTGAATGGCTTGAAAACCAGATACTGAGCCTCTATGTGACATTTTCCTTAGAGTGTGTGTATCCGCGTAAATCAAGGCTCGACTAGTCTGGCTGTTGCAGTTAGAAATAATTTACATTTGCAGATAATGCCAAATGCTTTTGTCTTTGCTGTTGGAATATATTGAATTATGTTCTATGCTAAGTTTTATGTTCAGCTTTGAACAATATTAAAATTAGTTTGCATTCCATCTGATGCATCTACTGAAGGATAGATTGGAAAGCCCAGGTTTTCAAGCTAAATTGCACATAAAAGCCTTGGCTTATTGAACATTGACCATCATGTATTTTTGAGATAGAAGATTGTTTAACATCATTATGAAAAGAACTGTCCTGAGATTATTGAATCAGCCTAACATTTTTGAGGTTGCCTTAAGAACTAAAAACATAAATACTTAATAATACATATTACTGTTTTCATGTGATTTTGTTTGTGTTTGTTATATAATAATCAATCATGGTTGACTGGAGTTATGATATAGTGGAATTTAGCTCTGTTTTTCTTAATGTTGGGAACATATCCTGTTGTAACTGATAGATACGCTGGCATTGATCGGTAACTATTGAATGGAGCTTGTTTTTAAAAGATACTTAATAAGTTGTCCTTGTCATTGTGGTAAGAAGGACTTGAGACTCACCCTGTGATCTAGAACAATTTGAAATTTGTTTTATCAAAAAAATTAATTGGTAATATTAAAGTAGTTGAAAAAGACAACTAGTTTTTGAGACACACGATGAGTGCCTTAACCATTTGTTGAACCAGTTTAAATCACTCTTGCTAGGTAATTGATATCCACTGTTATCTGTGGATGGCTGGTAGAGATAATGTAGCTGTGCACAGAGGCATATTTGCTTCTATGGAAGTTTAAATGTTGACATTTTTAGGAAAAAATTTTCTGTATTTTTCCCCTTGTAACTATAATATTGTGGGAACTTTCCTATGCTGTTGAAGATTGAAAAAAATAAGCGTTAATGACTGCATGTATCATTTCTCATGGTCATAGTGGTAATCCTGGGAGTTAGTTTGGTGACATAGCAGAACTGTCTTTGGGGGCAAATCAGGCTGCCTTGCTTCTTGTCCGTTCTCCCGTGTTTACTGCTTTGTGACTTGGGCAAGTCACTCAACTTCTCTTAGCTTTCCTTTCCTTATCTGTCAAGAGAGGCTGAAAGAGGAGCTCCCATAGTGTTTGTGAGGAAACTTAATGAAAATGTGTCTTAATATTTGTCCCTGTGATCAGCATATATTGTTGTTTCTAGTAGCTTTATTATTTAATTACTAATTCCATCTTGTTGGACTTTTTAATACTCTTTGTGGTACTTTTTGCCTTTAATATGGGTCAGGAGAAGAATGTGTATGTGGGTGGAGTGACCCAAATGTGTCCTTGTGGGTAGAGACAGGACTTTTGATTTTTGCCTGCACATATTCACTGTGTAAAGAGTAGTGTGTACACACACACACACACACACACACACACACACAGTTTTTTCTTGCATTCATTCCAGATTTTACTGACAAGCTTACTGCCCGTTTTCTTAATAAGAGGGTCCTAATTATAGCAACTGTCAGGTTTTCAGAGAACAATGAGATTCCAGATGTGACAAGGAAACGTCTGAGAGATGGGGGTGGTTGGCTTAGGTGTTGGACACAGATCATTTGATTATAGAGTTGTCATTTCTGAACGCTGTTGTTTGAGCTGGGTCAGTAGCTTCATTATGCACTTTTGGTTTGTAGAATTTATCACATGCTCTGCAGACATCTTCCCAGAATTGAAAAATACTCCCTTTTGGAATTATAGGGTTACTCGGAGAGGTAGAGACAAGGAAAATGAGGTTCCCTCCCCACCAAGGCTAAGTCACAGTTTTGAAATCTATCTGTGATTGTGAACATGACTTTCAATCTATGTGCTGACATATCTCTTATGAAAAGAACGTAGCACATGTGACTGCTTCATATTTGCTTCTGTGGTAACAGGTAGTACAGGATGAGATTCTTAAAGGCAGGGCTAGCTAGCATGCAGGCCATATAAATCTGTTTTGTTCCTTTCCTCCTTTCTTAGAACATTGCCATTTGTTGAGCCTACATGCCAGGTACTGTGCAAAATGTCTTACAGGCATCCTCATTTAATCCATAGTTGACCCTTCAAGTAAATCCCAGTGAAAGATGTAGTTGCAAGATACTCAGTAACTAGTCTAATATCAGATCTATGAAGTGGTAGAGCGAAGGTTCAGTCCCCAGTCTGGGCAACCCCAAAAGGGTCTTAGCAGCCTAAAATAGCTGTGACAGGTAGTATATTCTGGTCTGATGTCCAGCAGTTGTTAGACATAGGGGCTGACCCTTCAGGCAACAGCAAAGTGTTTAGTAAAAAAAAAAAAAAAAAAATTGTGATGTCATTATTTTCTGGGCTTTGGCATTTTCTGTCATTCTCAGTTTTTTAGAACCAGAAGATAAATTCGAGGACAAACATCTTCCTTTTTTAAATCGATGACCCATTTCTATTTTAAGCATTAGGAGACTAATTCCTATTATTAAGTTAATCACCACATTGGAAGTGAGAAATCTATCTTTTCAACTGAAAATGAGTTTTAGCTTGGAAAACTGGAAAATTTCTGGAGTTTGCTAATCTGTTCCAGAAGATATGTGTAAATTTGCAAGTGTCCGGGAATAGCAGTTGATCTGCTGCATTTCTCAATTCTAGAGTATAAAGGTCAGAGGTGGCTTCTTTTTTTGTACCCTCTTCAGACCTCTATCAAAGCACTAACTGTATAGTGTTTGAATTGTCTGCTTAGTTGTGCACTTGTAATTATCTTTGTGTTCCAGGTGCCAACCACACCCTCAAGCAGACAATAGACCCTCTCTAAATGTTGACAAATTAATAATTGAATGAGTTAACATACAGTGTTCTATTAGTTTCAGGTGTACAATATGGTGGTTCAGCAGTTCTGTGTATCACTGGTGCTCATTTTAAGTGTACAAATGAATTAAATTCTTAATATTTCCCGTTTTATCTAAAGCTAGGCCAAATATTCAAGGTTGCAAATTTTGGAAAAGATCTGGTTCAGTGAAACATAGAGCGGGCCCCTCACATTTACCCACTCCTGCCCCATGCCTGAACAAGCATGTGGACCGTGCCCCAATTTGCATTTTTTAATCTTCGATTTCTCAACTCCTTGGAAATATTTTCCTGGTTCATTTTCATTTAAATGGTAATTTCCAGCTTTGTAAGGGGAAACCATTTCCCAGGCATTTGATTTGCATCAGGTCGTATGGCTTGGTGGATAAAAATGCCAAGTTGTATCAACATCTGCAGCTTGGACCTGTCTTGCATTTTAGTAGCTCATGTCTCCTGGAATTCAAAGACTTCTTTAAAACCTGCTAAGTGTTTTAAAAAAATTAGAAGGAAAGGGGGAAAACCTGTCTCTTTGTTTGCAAATAAATAACATGTGGAGCAAAACCCATGAAATTAATGTCTCTTGATATGCAGCCAAATCTGAGCAAAACATAAACTTTGAGTAATTAGTGTGTGTGTGTTTGGGTGCACGCTTATGACTCCGTTTCAGTGCGGGACTGTTTGTGGAATGTGTAAGCTTATGCCTTGATGACAGAGTCATTCTTTGGAAATAGTGACCATAGGAGTCCTTGAGTTAAAAAAAATAATAATCTAGTATTTCAAAATAAGTGATATTTCAAGTGTTTGTAATATTCTGTTCATGTTCGTCTTAGTAGCCGACTTCTAGGAAGAATGATTCACTTTGGAGTATGGCATTATACAGGCTTGCCACAACCATGTATATATCCGAGTGGCTTTGAAATTAAGTTGAGTAATTGCTGCTCTGCTTGAAAGAATTGCTTAGTGACACAAAACAGCCTGGTTGTTTCTTTCACCAAGTCAAATTATCTGGTGCAATGGGCTTTTTCCTAATAGATTCTTGCTGTGGCAGAAGTCACTATTAGCTAGTTAATAAAGTTCCAGCCTTTGTAGGAAACCTTATGAAGTGAAGTCCAGGAGAGCACAGGTGAGTTTTCAGAAAGGTACGGAAATCCCGCAATGCCGTTTTACATGACCACGAGAAAGGAATAAAATCTTCTCCCTTAACTAGTGAGTTCTCAGAGGGCAGGACCTATGTTTCTGCTTTCGCAAGCAAAGTGCTGCCAAAGGAGGTCTGTTTGAATATAGCACCTGAGTGACAGATGCCTGCAATTTGAAAGCCCAACTCCGTCTTTTACTTACTTGGTAGCATTTTAATTAGAAACAAGGAGGAAATAAGATGCACATTTTATTTTATTCCAGGGAGAGCAAAAACACCACTGTTGTATTGAAAATGAAAAGAAACATTAATTTTCATCCATTTTTGTTTGTGTGGTAAGGTAGTCTAGAAATACAATGGGAAAATTGTAAATATATAAGGTATAAACTAGGCATTCAAGGCAAATTTTAACTATATTTCCATTAAAATCTAATTTAATAGTTGAATCAGAACAAAGGCTTCTGGGACTACATTTTATTAAGTTTTATTAACTTGTGCAAAATATCAGTAAAGAATTGTTCCTTATGTAGAAAAATACACTGATAAATATAAGACTGCCTTCTAGTTTGTTGTTGTTAGGATACACAGTTTTCATTGGACTTAAGGCATTTTTATGAGTCTCTTTTTGCCTCACTCGGTTGTTGAAAATCCTTAAGCTCTTAAAGAATATGCTCTTCTTGCTCTAAATGTTCTTTTATTTTTCAGAACTGCCTGCTGGTTGGGAAAAGATTGAAGACCCTGTCTATGGTATCTACTATGTAGAGTAAGTGCCTATTAATCTCTATTTTAGTTTATACTCCTCTATAATTAGGTACATTTATGCTGATCAGAGTTTGTCATCATTATACGGTCCAAACTGATACTAATAACAACAACATAATAATTTTATAATGAAAAAATATATGCATATTTTAGTGAATGAGAAAATATTCAGCAAATCTGAAGACAGTAAATTATATTCCAAAATTCATGAGGGCAAGATCTATGTCTTTTGTTTACCACTCTCTTACCAGGACCCAACACAGTGCTGGCATATGGCAGCTACTCACTAAATATTAGTTGAATGAATGAATGAATAAGAAAAGCAAACCAGATGAGTAGGTGTTATCTTCTGAAGAAGAACCTGTTTGCCTACTTTTTGCCCCACCCTGGTCTGAACTTTTCAGTAATTGCTTATTTATTCATTCAGACTTTCTAAAAGGGCCAGACACATCCTATGTATGTATGAAATGTTTGAAATGTCACCAGGATTAAGAAGGTAATTCAGAACTGGCCCAAGCTGCAAGACCTTGTATGCTTCTTTGCCTCTCCCTTGCCTGAGGACCATCTCCATAGCTCCTGCTTTCCATTTTTAAGACTCAAGCCCTCCTCATGACCTCCATAGTACGTACCTTATTCTAGCCCTGGCCATACACTTTTTCCGTTCATTAGAACCATCTATTGTTAGGATGATAAAGAAAAGAAACCTGAGAAATTGGACATTGAAGCAGATATGCTCTGTATCACTTCCTCCGAGAAAGATGAAAAATAACTAATAAAAAAATCCTTTGAAAGAAACAAATGCTATATAAATATTCTATCATCATAATCCTACCTGGTGCAATGAAGATAACTAACCAGCTTTCTATCCCTCATGCTGCTAGCAATGAAAAGTCATCTGCATCATGCCCTGGCAATAAGAGCATATGATGGAAATTGTAGAATGCTCAGCATCGTATTATAAAAAATTATGAGCTTAACATAGCAAGTGTCATTGGCCAGTACTCACATTGCTACTGCTGTACCTAACAAGAAGGATTTGGTGATTTGGGACTTGAGAAAAGCAAGCTCCGTTCCTTCTCTGATACTCAGAAAATAAAATTCCATCGTGTGCCCTGCAGATCATCTTTCTTTCAGATGTTTAATGGGGTTTCTGTCTATTCAGGGTTCATTTGGAGTTCTCCCTCAACTAATTTGTGCATTAAGAGAGAAAGAGAAGAGGCAATAACAGCTTTATAGGATAAAGAGACCTGGGTTGAGGGGAGAGTTGTTACCTTCCTATCTGGTCTTCCTCCCTGTGTCTTAGCAGCTCCACCTGCCTGCTATGGTAGACCGTTTCTTAGCATGAAATTGCCTACAAGAATTAGCAAATAAGCAACCAGTCCTAGGAATGAAAGGTAATTAGTCTCTCCACCCTATTTGACAAGCCTGCCTTTAAGAAATATTTTGAGTTCTGAATACTGTAATCACATAATAGGTATGTTCCCGAACCTCTAATGAAGTATGATTTTGGTGGAAAAAAGAAAGAATGTATGTATGCTTGTGTGTATATGTTTGTGTAATACATGTATATATACACTAAGGTCATGGCAAAAAAAAAAACCCATGTATGTACATGTATTCATATGTACGTGTGTGTGTGTGCATTTTTGTTTGGCTGTGGCCTTATTAGTTTTGGAGCTATCTGAAGTATCTGGGTCTTTGTCACTTTGAACACATCACATTTGCTTAGGTTTGCTGCATTTGGAGTTTTTTTGCCTAAGGCTTAGACTTTTATTCCTGGCTCCATGTCAATTGATCAAAATAGTTGACAGATGTTGGTAGAGCCCTTCTTTGAACTTCGGGTGAGTGCTTCTGCCCCTGTGAACTGCGGTAGGGAGTCACAGAGCACTCTGGCATTGCGTGTTACACACAACATTGTATCTCTGCTTTAATCTCATTTTTTTTTTTATCATTCTAACAATCTACTCTCTGTTGAATTAAAGCACCTCTCCCTGTAGGGTGCTTCCTTGGACATTTGGAAGAGTCAGTGGTTAAAATCCTGGGATTTGAAAGCAGGCAGACCTGAGCTTACATGCCTCTTTCTTGTTTACTGGCTATGTTATGTTAGGTGAGCCATTAACTGCTCAGAAATTTACTTTCCTTACCAGAAAAATGTGAATAAAAGTGGGACCTACCTCCTGGCCTTTACTGAAGATTTTTTAAAATAAAATGCATGAAAAACTGGTAGCATGTAAGCAGTCAGGATGTGGAAGGTGTTCATGTCTTTTTCCCCGTCCTGACTGCACATGTTGACACGGGATGGTCAGTGTCGCAGACCACCTGCTTTGCTCGGTTCGAATCCAGGGCCTTGGCCAGACTGGCATTCTGCTTGGGCGAGGAAATGTTTCCTAACTGAATACTGTCTGTCTCCTGCTCCAGCCACATCAACAGGAAGACACAATATGAGAACCCGGTTCTAGAAGCCAAACGGAAGAAGCAGCTTGAGCAGCGGCAGCAACCCCAGCAGCAACCCCAGCAGCAGCCGCAGCCCGAAGGTTGGCTTTCCCTGGATGTGTGGGCAGAGGAGCTTGGGGCAAAGCCTGGGCGCTGACACCCCCATGTGGTCAGACCCGGCCTCTGTGTTAGTGTCCTCCTGCCTTGCAGCAGGCAAACCTGCTGTCCTGCAGGGGGGTGGATGACAGCTTCTGAGGGAGCTCCCTGCCCAGAACCCAGATAGCTGGGGGGGAGGGGGGATGGTGTGCAATCCCAAGCCTCCCCACCCCACCCCCCCACTCTCCACTTTAATGTAGACATAGGCTGTTGCCACACTGGAGAACTTTCTGTTGCCCCAACATGTTTATAATACCACCTGGTGTCTAAATCCAAACTGCTCTGAGCACTTTCAGAGGAGTTCCTGTGTATGAAACGAACTTCTAATTTTAGGAACGTGACATGTAGGAATCAGAAAAAGCTGGTAATTTGGAATGCTTTTTAAAAACTGTAGGTTAATTCATGCTCTTTACAAACATACGAACAGTTCAAGAATGGAGAATATTAAGTTCTCCCCTGCTGGCTCCCATCCCCTTCTCAATGATAAACACTGCAGAATCTCTCTAGGATTGTACATAGATGCATATTTTAACAAAAATCAGATCATAACTTATATGTATGCTTTCACACACGTATTAGCTTTGTGACCTCATTTTCTCATTTAAATTTATTTCTTATACATAGTTCAAAGCTGGTTAATACAGATTTACCCTCTAATTTTTAAGGGCTGCATAATTTTCCATTTTATGAATCTCTCCATTTAGCCATCTTTTTATTAAAAGATCTAATTATTAACAGTCATCTATTTATTAATAGGGTTTTGTAGTTTTTCATTGCAACCTTTTAAAATGATAGGCTTAATAACCCCTCAACATATAATGTGTAAATAGCAAATACATGAAAATCAAATATAATACTTTTCTTATTATAATATTGAATATAATAAATATAAACCATAGAGTAGAAGTTGGTAAACCTTTTCTGTAAATGGCCAGCTAGTGGATATTTTAGGCTTTGCTGTTCATATAGTCTCTATTACAACTGTTCATCTCTGCCCTTAAAGTATGAAAGCACCTATACACAATCTGCAAATGAATAGTTGCAGCTATGTTCCAATAAAACATTGGATATGAACATTGAAATTTGAACTTCATGTAATTTTCATGTGTTACAAAGTATTTCCCATTTTAATTTTTTTTCAACCATTTAAAAATAGAAAAACCATCCTTGGCTCGAAAGTTGTATACAAATAGACGTTAGGGCCAATTTGGCCTCTAAGCCACAGGTGGCCAACCTCTGCCATAGATTGTATTTTACTGTTGTGTTTTTTTGTTTCGTTTGTTTTTTAAGTTAGTTCTACGCCCAACATGGGGCTAGAACTCATGATTCCGAGATCAAGAGTTGCATTCTCTACCAACTGAGCCAGCCAGGCACCCCCTAGACTGTATTTCAGATAGGGTGTGTACGTGTGGATGTGTGTGTGTGTGTGTGTATGCACCTATCGAAAAGTTCTCCTTTCGACCTTCATCTCTTTTCTATTTAAAAAAAGGTCTTAAAATATTTTTTTTTCCGAGCTGGGGAAACTTTGTGGTGTTAGAAAGTGCTGCTTGGGGAATGGGAGTGTATAGTTGAATATATTCACTTAGCTGGAAAGTGACTGTGTACATCTCAAGGGTCACTCACAGTTGAGTTATTTCTGGGCCTCCGAGGTGAGTAGGAGTGCAGTTAGGACACAGGAGTGTTGGTGATGGGTCCCGTTTGGGTTTGAGAGACGGTAGGGGATAGCACTTCAGTCAACTGCTAAAATCACCTTTACCACCTCAGATGAGCACGCTTCAGCAGCTCAGCCCGTGTCTCAATTGCATTAGAGAAGTTTTTCCCTTATTGGGCCAGCATCAGTTGATTGCATATCTTCCCTGATATTTTTTACTTGGTCTTACTTTGGACTATCCCGCCAGAGAGAACTAAAGTTTTTATTGTTCATATCACAGTATCTCTTTCCTCAAAGGTCTTAGGAGAGAGAGACAAACAGACAGTCAAAGTTCTTAGGAGAGAGATAGACAATCAACAGCCTTAGGAGGGAGAAACAGACAGACACACACACAAGAGACACACACACAGAGAATCTTGGTGTCCTTAACAAAGGGTGGGGTCAGATACGAGTGGTTTTTGTTTTTGTTTTTGTTTTTTTCAATCTAAGCTCTCTGTGCCTGGTTTTATTGGTTTGGGTAGTTGTATAATTCAGAAGATGAATCCCGAGTGAGTTGATCAGCACCTTGAAGGAAAACAGTAAATTGTTTCTTTTTCTTTTAGAATGGACAGAAGATCATTCATCGCTTGTGCCTCCTGTTATTCCAAACCATCCTCCAAGCAATCCGGAGCCAGCCAGAGAAGCTCCACTTCAGGGTAAAGTGTTTTTATAATGGCTAGGTATTTAGCTCAAAAATTTAATTTTTTTTTTTTAAGGAACTCGTAGCACCCAAGTCATTCCTTTGATAGTGAAAACCATGAGGTCAGAAATTCTAAATGTATTGTTAATCAAACTTGTCGAGAAAATGGAAAACTTTTTTTGTGTAAATTTCTGCAGCTAATTGTAATGCTGTGGAAATGAGAACTAATTGCCGTTAGGGTTTCTCAGCCTCAGCATGGTTGACATTTTGGGCCAGATACTTCTTTGTCACGTATGGGGCCTGTGCTGTACATTTTAAGATGTTTAGCAGCATCCTTGGCCAGTAGCACCCCTCCTCCTTGACAACTAAAAATGTCCCCAGTCATTGCCCAATGCCCCTGGGGTGGGGGGTAGGGGGGTAATCCCAGAGTTGTAAATCACTGATTTAGAGACTACAGATATTTAGTATTGGGCTAAAATAAGATAAATCAAAAAGTCACCATGAGATATTTCAAGATCCTAGTCAACCTATTTGCTTTTGACTAAGATTTTCTTTTAGATATGAAATCATTTGATGTTATTCTATTCTAAATGCTCATCTGCTATTCTTGCTGTAGTTTGGCATTTATGCTGCTTTTACAGTGTTTCATTGGGTTCACTCATTTACATTCACAAATAGTAGGAGCCCTCCTAGAGAGGTTCATTTTTGAAAATTGGTATCTCCAGAATCTTGCTACTTTCAGGCCTCATTACTCTTAAATGATAGAGAAGATTCGGGAGGGTTTTTTTTGTTTGTTTATTTTTTTCTTTTAAATAAGAAAAATAGAACAAGCATTATATTTGATAGAGTTGGGGAAGGTTTGTGGTACAGACCCATTAAAAAGACTAAAGTTTGTCTTCATTCTCTGTGCATTTTTAAAGAGGTATCGTTGTGTTAGATAAGAAAAGATAAGTAGAAAAACTCTTTTCTCTAATTTTCATCCCTCCATTATTATTTTCATGAGAAAGAAGTTGTTTCCTTGCTAACCGATCATGTCAAGAGATTGGTAATAATACCACTTTATGTAAAATAATTTCTCCTGGCTTAGGTACACATTTTTATGATGCTAATGGTTTTAATAAAGATAGAACACAGCAGCTAATAACATTAATGGCAGCATGATTGTGGCCTCCTCGGTACTTTTTAAATATAAAATTCCTTTTGCCACCTCACGCTGCCTCCTTTCCCTGCCTGCCCGTGAAGAGTCCTGATCTAGCAGCCTGTGGTACTCTCGGGAAGAAGTCGTGTGGCAAACTTGGTTAGACTGTTGGGTATGAATTTTGCTAAGTTCACCACTCAGCGAAACTTTTCCTCTGATCAGGAGTGCATTTACAATTCTAGCAAGTGATCATGTTCAAGAGAGTTGCTCTTAGGAAAACTCTCCAATTCCATTTGGTGCTTAGAGAGAGATTTCTATAGCCATCCCTCCATTGCACCCACTCTACCACCATCATCTTCCAAAATAACAATGCCCATTTATTGGGCTGTCATTATTTACTGGGCACCCCACCCAAGCACTTTACCTATATTATCTGCCACAGGTATTCCTTACAAGTCTCCTAAATTGTGAGGTTGGTACCACCATTACCTCCATTTACGTGTGCAGCACTCAGGCAGAGAGCGCTAGTGATTTGCCCAAGGTCACACAGCCAGTGAGTAGTGGAGCGCCCGGTCGGAATCCTCATTGTTATTAGGAACAGTTACACTTCTGGCTAAAACCTTTTTTGTTCGTTTGTTTTTTTGTCTTTTTGTGTGTGGTGGGGTATAACTCCCTACATAGTGTAAATCTGTGCCACCCAGTTACAGATGTCACTGGCTACATGTTGCCATTTAAATCCATTACAGTAAAAAAAAAAAAAAAATGACACCTTTAGGGGCACCTTCGTGGCTCAGTTGGTTAAGCGAGTGCCTTCAGCGCGGGTCATGATCCCAGGGTCCTGGGATCGAGTCTCGCATTGGGCTCCCTGCTCAGCGGAGAGCCTGCTTCTCCCTCTCCTACTCCCCCTACTTGTGTGCTTGCTCGCTCTCTCTCTATCAAATAAATAAATTTAAAAAATTAAAAATTAAAAAAATAAAAATTACAAATTTAGTTCCTCAGTTCCACTAGCCACATTTCAAGGGCTCAAGAGCTCTGCATGGCTAGTGACTGCCGTATCGGACAGAGCACCTATGGAGTGTTGTCTTTATCACAGAACGTGCTGCTGGACATCACGGGTCCAGGGTATTCAAACACTGGTGCCCAGAACAGTGCTACCCTGGCTGGGAAGCCAGCTCCTAAGGGTTGTCCAAGAGCAGAATTTTAGGCCAAGACCCCAAAGATCCTGATTGAGTCTAAAATAGGACCTACATATGAGGACCTTTAAAAAAAAAGAGCTGCTGAGGTGATTCTCATACATAACAAGATCGTACAACTGGCAACTGGTCCGCAGACGAGGATCTCTGAGAAAATGACATATGTACCACAGGGATGCAGCAGAGAGCTCCAGATGCCACTGCTTGTGGGGGGAAAAGCTCTTCTCTCCCAAAGCTCCATTAACTGATGACCCACTCATACATAATACGTAATAAAATGTGCATGAATGTGAAACCCTGTGATCTTCCCTCCCTAGTTACGCACTGAAAAAGCAAGTCAGTGGTGTCATTTCAAAGCTCTGCTCGTGTCTCTATTAAGTTGAAAACATTCTAAGTTCAAAATATGCTAATGGATTTAAAAAAAATTCATTCAGTTAAACTGCCAGGCACATTTTCTTCACATTTTCTAACTTAACCTATAATAAGGGTGAGAAGCTTAAACACCCCACCACCTCTTCCCGCCTTCTCAAAGATGCATTACATCTCCTTTCTTTGTGCTGTTGTTCATTCATTCGTTGATTCAGCGCGAATGTTTGGAGCACATGAAATCAATCAGGCAGTATTCTACATGCGGGGTATACAAGCAGAAATCCTCTGGAGCCCACATTGCCGTGGTTGTGTGTGTGTTCACCTGCAGTGCCCTTTGTGCACGGGGATGGGCAAGAATGAGACAGATCACCAAACTGATACGTATGATGTCTACTGTGTGGGATGGTGATAAATGCTAAGGACAGAGATAAAGCAGGAAAGGGGGATGGGGAATGTTGGAGGAGGTATTAGAATTCTTAATAAGATGGCCAGAGGAAGTAAGCCTAAATGAGAAGGTGTGTCTGCATAACTAAAATGTGTTTCCCTTCATGCTCTCCAAACTCCCTAGCTGCCCCTGCCTTAAGGATGTAGGCTATTCACACACACCCCTGTCCTCAATTTTCCATCTGATAATTGCCAGGGCAGCTGTCTCCGTACAAGCCCCGAGTGCACTCGACACTACCTTTCTGATGTCTTGGCGGACACCCTTGCATGGTGAATGCTCCAAAGTCTTGCCTTTCTTTAGCCACAGTGACAGGGCTGTAGTTTGTCAAGCTCCCAACCAGCCTTGGGACTGCCCTAGCGAGGGGGAGGCTCGTGAACAGAACTATGACTCTGAGCAATTTAAAAGAGCCTTTTTAAGAGCCAGAAACTTTTGAAATATGCAATTAAAAATTGTACGTGGGCCCAGAGACCTTTTGAAAAAAGGCTTTTCGCTATAGCTAACCAAAAATAACTTTCTTTCCTGGGTGCCAGGCTCTGGTGCAGGGGTATATGGAGACTTTTTCTCCTGGGTGTTTTGTTTTTGTTTGGATAACACTTTTGATAGAAAAGAAATAGAGCAGATGGGGAGGCTATGGCAGGCAGAGAGCAGGAGATAGGAAGTATAATTAGGAGAGTTTAAAAAGTCTAAATGTGAAATTATGTCCAGTGTTTGAGATATCCAGAGAAATTCTAGTAAGTTTCTCAATTAGAAATGTTATTGTGCATATCATTGGGAAAACTCACTAAAACCTTAGGTAGCATGTTTGGAAGTTATTTAACTGTATAGCTATTTATTTTAGATAAGACAACTGAATTTGGAGCTGTATGGCTGTAGTTAGTAACTAATTCATTTAGTTTAGATGTTTTGGATTTTTAAAAAAAATATTCTAAGCCACATGTCCTCAACTTTTTTAAACAATAAATTTTAGTAGTGGACATGTCTGGGCTATTTTACAAATTGTTAAAGGATGAAAATTAATAGGAAATATGTAAATTTAGAATTCAATTCAAAGTAATAACTCTTCTAATTTTGAAAGTAGTGATTCTACATTTTTATCAAATTATTCTTTGTGACCATACGCTTCCTAGTATTTTCTATGTATTTTCAGAATGTGTTTTCTGTCTGATTAGAAACAAAAGTTTTTGCTGTATTGGTTTCACAAGTAGAAGCCACGCCCAAGTGGAAGTTGTACTGCAAAATAGAAACAATAGCAAAACAGAAGACACAAAGCAAACACCCACTTCATCTTTTGTGAATACTTCGTGGCAGCTCAATTGCTGTCAGAGTACATGAACTGAAACCAAGTGTTTCAGATGATGGACACCGGTTCCATTTTTCTCCTCTGTTTTCCTTTGGATATTCATGCTGCAACACTCTGGATACCATATCTCCCTTCTTAAATAAAGGGGTCTGGGATCTCCCTTATTACTGCCATCAAGAGAGGACTTTCCTAAGACACCTTAAGCACAGGAGCTCAGAGAGTTACCCATAAGTTGTGTCATTTCTTATTTAACTCATCTTTTCACTCATAGTGACATTCCTTATACTCTTCTTGTTTTCATGCAGGCAAACCCTTTTTTACAAGAAACCCTTCTGAGTTGAAAGGCAAATTCATTCACACGAAGCTGCGGAAAAGCAGCCGTGGCTTTGGCTTCACAGTCGTTGGAGGGGATGAACCTGACGAGTTTCTGCAGATCAAGAGCTTGGTCCTGGATGGTCCTGCCGCACTGGATGGCAAGATGGAAACAGGTAGAGATGCCACATGGCCCTCGCATTTCCTGTGTGATGAGACTGCCACCCCGCACCTGAACGAGGACAAACAGCATCATGATTGCATGGCTTTACAAATGGTTTTGAAAAACTCTGAGTCAGCAAGATTCCTCCACTACAGAAATGCATTCCCTGGTAGAGATACAGAACTTTGAAGCCACTTGAACTTTGGGGCACTGTTAGGGTGCTATCGAGTACAGTAGAGCGGTAAATTTACTAAAAATTTAGGATCTGTCTGAATAGAAGAATTCTAAACTTCTTCTAAATTTTTTAGAATCAATGTTCTTTCAATGATCATCAGATTCTTGTTAGCACGGAAGACACTACATGCTACAAGAATGCCTTATTAGCAGTTAAAAGAAGTAATAGAAGCAGTTTCTTTGTGCCCTGTGATACCCCTCCAAATCCAGTTTCAGTTCAGCTTCCTATTGGTAGGATCTCATAATGTTGATAGAACTTTTTTTGGCTACCTTTTTTTTTTAACCCCCAAACTCTTCTCTTTTGCAGGAGATGTCATTGTCAGCGTGAATGACACCTGTGTTTTGGGACATACGCATGCACAAGTTGTGAAAATCTTCCAGTCCATTCCCATCGGTGCCAGTGTGGATCTTGAACTATGCCGAGGTTACCCGTTGCCTTTTGACCCAGATGACCCCAATACAAGTTTAGTGACCTCGGTGGCCATTTTGGATAAAGAACCAATTATTGTGAATGGGCAAGAGACTTATGATTCGCCAGCTAGTCACAGCAGTAAAACAGGCAAAGTCAATGGCACAAAGGATGCCAGGCCCAGCAGCCCTGCTGATGTGGCGTCAAATGGTTCCCATGGTTACCCCAATGACACTGTCTCTTTGGCTTCCTCCATAGCCACTCAGCCAGAACTCATAACTGTTCATATAGTCAAAGGGCCAATGGGCTTTGGCTTTACTATCGCAGACAGTCCTGGTGGTGGTGGCCAAAGAGTGAAACAGATTGTGGACAGTCCAAGGTGCCGCGGCCTGAAAGAAGGGGATCTGATAGTGGAAGTTAATAAGAAGAACGTGCAGGCTCTGACCCACAACCAGGTCGTGGATATGCTGATCGAATGTCCAAAGGGAAGTGAGGTCACGTTGTTGGTGCAACGAGGAGGTATGTAGGTTTCTTTTGTTCTATGATTTTTCTTTTTTTAACCCAGATTTTATTGTTTAATTTACCAGTCTTCAGGTGGCTTTTGTGGGCTTTGTAAATGTCTACTCTTTAAGATCATTTTTACTTAAATATTTGGAAGTGTATTCGAAATGCCTTCTATTTCTGCCAAATGGTAGCCTCTACAGAATAAATACTGTGTTTATATATTCTGCTATACATATGCAGTCAGAGTGATACTTTTAAATGTAAATCGCATTGTACTTTTAAAAAACCCATTAGTATTTTGAAATCTCTATACTTATCCTTCTGAACCTGGCCTGTGCAATGTGCATGCAAAGTGTGGCTCTTGGCTAGTCTTCCAACCTCATCTCACATCCTCTCCCCTCATCACTATGCTCTAGCCACCTGGCTTCTTTTCTGGAGTGGCTTCAGTGCTCCAAGCCCTGGCTGTCTCAGGGCCTTTGCACTTCCTGTTCCCTCTCCTTGGAATGCTCTTTCCTCAGCTATTCACTTGGCTGGCTCAATCTCATTCAAGTCTCCTCCTGTGAGAGGGCTTCTTTGATACTTATTTAAAGTAATCCCCCGGGGCACCTGGGTGGCTCAGTCGTTAAGCATCTGCCGTCAGCTCAGGTCATGATCCCAGGGTCCTGGGATCAAGCCCCACATCAGGCTCCTTGCTCCTGGGGAGTCTCCTTCTCCCTCTGCCACTCCCCCTGCTTGTGTTCCCTCTCTTGCTGTGTCTCTCTCTGTCAAATAAATAAAATCTTTAAAAAAATAAAAATAAAGTAGTCCCCCATTTTTCTCTCTCTCTATGTTAAATAAATAAAATCTTAAAAAATAATAATAATAAAGTAGTCCCCCAGGGGCACCTGGGTGGCTCAGTCGGTTAAGCATCTGACTTCAGCTCAGGTCATGATCTCAGAGTCCTGGGATTAAGCCCCCCGTCAGGCTCCCCTCTTGGCAAGGAGTCTGCTTGTTTCTCTCCCTCTTCCTCTGCCCCTCCCCCTGCTTATGCTCTCTCTGTCTCTCAAAGAAATAAATAAAACCTTTATAAAAATAAATAAATAGGGGTGCCTGGGTGGCTCAGTCGTTAAGCATCTGCCTTCAGCTCAGATCATGATCCCAGGGTTCTGGGATCGAGCCCTGCATTTGGCTCCCTGCCCAGCGGAAAGCTTGCTTCTCCCTCTCCCACTCCCCCTGCTTGTGTTCCCTCTCTCGCTGTGTCTCTCTCTGTCAAATAAATAAATAAAAATCTTTTTAAAATAAATAAATAAATAAATAAATAAATATAAAGTGGTCCCCCAGTTCCTTGTAATCTTTACTGCAGCACCCCATTTTTTTCATTGCCTTTATACATCATTTTTATTATCACCACAAGTCATTGTTTTGCATACTTATTGGTTATTTTTCTTTTTGCTCTTTTTTGCTAGAATATAAGATCCATACAGCGGGGTTCATGTCAAAGGCTCATGTCTCCATGTTGACAGTTGTATCCCCAGCATCTAACACAATACCTGACTCCTGCTAGGCATTCATGAATGAAAAGATATTGAATGAATGAATGAATGAATGGGTATGCGATTATTTATACTTGGTAGGAACGACAGCTCTCCACCGACCATATGAAAAACATATCTCAACATGCCCACATTTAAATGAAGTGGTGAAGGATCTCAGAGAAACCTATTCTGCATCGTGAGACATTAGACTTTGTTCTTTCCTCTGCCTGCATCCCTTACCTCTGCCCCACTAAGAACTCCCAGGACCTCACACTGAGAAGTATTTTCCATGCCTTTGAAGCATCATGCTCCTGGATATGTACTTGTGATTAGTCTTGATTGATCATCTCACACAATGGGCCTGAGATTGGTTGTTTCCCTCAGTCTTTGCCAACACGATTTGTTTCATGCACAACATACTCTGGCCACCTGAGAAGAGATCAGGAACTAGATTTTTATTTCCTCTTGGTTCCACTGCAACAGAGGAACTCCTGTGTGTCACAGCAGCTGTGTTCTCAGGTTCTCGTGAAGTTGTGTGTTCTGTGGTCAAAATGGGGTCATTGGAAGGAAATCCAACATTCAGAGCAACTGTCTGTGACCTGAAATGTTCAGCCAACCCTTCTTAAACGGTTATAAAAGTCATTGTGCAGGTATAATTTTTTAACCTGTTGTCTTCAGTGACACCATTTTGAAGTCTCTTCTTGTACCTAGATCACTTGACTGCTCAGATCATTGTTTTTTCAACATTGACTAAAATGTAGTAGGAAGTGACTTGAGCTTCAGGATGATGAAGTGTTGGTAATGATGGTGATGGTTGATGGTGGTGATGGCGATGATGGTGGTGATGATGATGATGACAATGATAATACCTGATACTTACAGATAATCTGGCAATTTATTTATTTGTTTTTAAAGATTTTATTTACTTATTTACTTGGGAGAGAGAAAAAAAAAAGCATGAGAGGGAAGAGGGTCAGAGGGAGAAGCAGGCTCCCCACTGAGCCAGGAGCCCGATGTGGGACTCCATCCCAGGACTCTGGGATCATGACCTGGGGATCATGACCTGAGCTGAAAGCAGTCGCTGAACCAACTGAGCCACGCAGGCACCCCTAATCTGGCAATTTACAAGGCAATTTTCATACCAGCATATGCCTCTCATCTCACTTTTACCATGTCCTTGAAAGGTAGGAAGGTAGGGCACCTGGGTAGCTCAGTCATTAAGCGTCTGCCTTTGGCTCAGGTCATGATCCCAGGGTCCTGGGATCGAGCCCCACCTGGGCTCCCTGCTTGGCGGGAAGCCTGCTTCTCCCTCTCTTACTCCCCCCTGCTTGTGTTCCCTCTCTTGCTGTGTCTCTCTCTGTCAAATAAATAAATAAAATCTTAAAAAAAAAAAAAAGAAAGGTAGGAAGGTGCCAGCCCATGATTTGACTGAGAAGTTCAGCTCAAATCTGTGGTTTCCAGTTCAATGCTCTGTCTGACTTAACTCTGAATAACACTAGTTTTTGCATAATTGCTGATTTCTGTGGCCAGCAACTTGAAAACTTAAATGGTTCTTGGTCCATCAGGGCCATTTCTGATTTAGCCACTGTTCATTTGATGGTCCAAACCATCCTGCTGTCCTACCTGATCTTTATGCTCCTTCATTTCATTCATCATTTCATTCTTTTTTATTAGATTCACTTTAAGGAGACCAAAAAATAGTCTCCTTACAGCATTCTAACTTACCACAGTTAGTGGAACCATTTTGTAATGAATATGCCCAAACTGCCAAACAACTGATTATAGAAACATACCCCTTGATTTCAAATGGGTTTGCATTCTCTCTTCTTAATTTCTAAGACCTTTTTGTTAATGCCATTACATTTTATAAACTTAAATTAACATGGAGAGATCCAGAATATATTGCCACGTTAGTCAACATCTACATAGTTTATTCCAGAACCTGAGTAATTAAAAATCACTATAATATCAGCAGTCTTTAAAATACACCATATGCCTTATGTTTGATTTATGTATTGGATAGAAAGTTTGCACATCTGCATTTGGCAGGCTAGCACCAGCTACTATTAATCTTTCTAGGAAGCATATAAATATATTTGTTTCTGCCATATATTAGTTATTGGAACTCGGGCTGACATTTTAATCATCATTCCTGTATGGTGGGGGTGTAAATGAGGAGGTTTGGTGAAGCAGCAAAGACAGCATCTAGGTTGAATGAGAAAGTAAATGGCCACTTCACTGATTCTTTCTAATGAATCTCATTTCTGTCAAAGCTGCTAGTAAGCAGATTGATAAACTCATGATTCTTATGAGTCTGGGGAATTCACATCTTGAGGATGAGGCTTTCTATGCTTTAAAGAACTGGCCTTTTTTACTTTGGGACAGAACTAGCTACATTTATATTTTATTTTAATTCTCAATCCCCTCATTTTTGATATCCGTTCTTGTCAAGATGGGGGACGTTTTGATTTCTGGCGTTCTTTATTTTCCCAAGCTGGAAATCAAGCAGAGGTTAGAATATTTGTAAATTTCTGGGATTAAATAGTTTCCTGGATCAGGTATGGAGTTGGTGGGGGTACCCATCCACATGCCCTGGCAGCTGGGACCATTACTGATTTATTTACATGGAAACATGCCCTTGTCTACTGGTCTGTCAGTCATATTGTTCATGGGGCAGTGCCTTCTTCCTGGGCCTGGCTCCGCATCTTCCCATGGCACTTCCTTTCATCTTCTTCCCTCTGCCGTGCTGTCAGGAGAATGCCTTTTATTTATTTTATTTTTACATAGTATTTGCATTCAGAGAGCCTGTTGCCTGACACCAGTGCAAATCTAGAGATTTTTTTTGAGGTGTTGGAAAATTATGCTAGAAGGTGATTACTATTTAAAAAAAAAAAGTGTTTTTTTTTATTTATTTACAGAAGATAATTTGTCCCATGAAAGTTTTTGCTTTGCTTTGTTTTTTTTTTTAAAGGGATATTATATGTAACATAACTGCGTGCCTCTGTGTGAATTTTGTGTATTTGGTTAATTCACACCAGTTATTAGGTGGGACACTCTTTAAGAGGTAATATTGGGTTGAGTCAGAATACTGTGTTTCAAGATTTGGCAAAACTTTAAAAAAGTGGAGAACATGTTTTGCTTTTGAGAGAAAGCATGTATTGAAAAGAAGGCTGAACTGGGGGGTGTCAGGAGCCCACCACTAGTCCCACCTCTGCTCTTAGTTGCTCTACCCCTCTATCCAGGTTACTGCTCCTGCCTGGAGACTCATTTCTTTATCAACAAATTGGATGTTTTGAACTAGATCATCCTTAGAGCAACCTTTTTTGGCTCTGCCTTTATGCACAAAATGATGTCATTGATATGTTAAAAAAACAAAATTCAACTGAGTACATTTTATAGATTTTACTGGCTCTTTTTAGTGATTCATGAATCAGGCAGCATCCCACCTAGCAGAGAGAAAGGAGCTCTGAGGAGCTGTACAAAATAGAAGGCTTTTGTATG